TGTCATAATAGATACTTTAAAAAATATTATACCCAAATTGCAAGTTTGTAGTACAAGCGGTACGTCCTGAAGAGCTCTTTGAAAATACAAAAGATCAAAAAGTCATTTCTTTCACATATTACATGCGTGAATAAAATATTGTTTAATTCAAAATATTGTTCGAAAAATCATTAATTTTAGTATTTGCTGTCATAATAGACACTTTGAAGAATGACATTTCTAAATTACAAGGTTGTAGTACAAGCGGTACATCCTGAGGAGCTCTTTGAAAATACAAACCGTCCTAAAGTTATTTCTCCCGCACATTACTTAGGACATATAAAGACAAAATATTTATTAATTCAAAATATTGTTAGAAAACCTATCGATTTAGTATTTGTTGTCATTATAGGCACTTTGAAGAATAAAATATCTAAATAGCAAGGTTGTAGTACGAACGGTACGTCCTGCAGAGCTCCTTGAAAATACTAATATTCCAAGAGAGTCATTTCTCCCACAAATTATAAGTATAGGTAAAATGATAATTTAAAACACAGAGAATTGACAACTATTTGGATTTCCATATGTAGAACCGACTGGTAAAATCAGCCCAACAGCTTATAAGATTCTGAAGTTGTGATTGCAGAACTAATAATATAATAAAAAATATAAATGATAATAAAAAAATAATTATGTAATGATAACAATATTCTTATTGGAAAATACAGAGTAAAATATATGAAACTCCCAAAGCAAACGGTACTATATTAAATAATATATTCAAGATTCTAATTCCTAACATTGTTACGAGTTAAATATTCATGTCTACGAATCTCCTATTACAAAGCATTCAAAGAAGTTTAGTTTAGTTATTAAGTAAGCACAATGTGTATTATTGACCTTGGTATGATTTTCGTCTCGGATGGTTCAAGGACCAAAAATTAGCAACATACGCGAGGCAGCTAAACAGCTTCTGTTCTATATTGCACATCAATAGCAATCCTACTAATTATAACAAGTAGCAAATTGATGAACTTCGAAACGTCACACTCCATGTATTGTCCTTGGCCTACCGAGGAAACGCAAATAAATCAATTTTCCCGCCACACTGTATATTTTCGAAGTAACAAGAGAAAAACAATGAAGGACGAGCCGCCAAGGGAAAACTTGTGGGAAAAACACATGTGGGCATTAAAATTATGTTTTATTACTGTGTTTTTTCGTAAAAGTCGATCGTTAGAAAATTTGTATAAAGAATCAGAGTATAAAGCATATCAACTCCTATATGTATTAATGAATCATATATCGAAACAAAGTACAGCGATTTGAAAGTAATGTAAAAGATAAAATTAGTACGTCTTCCAAAACTATAAAATTTATTTTTTATTTATTTGGACAACAATCAGAACTTAATGTTCACGTGAGGTTTTTAGGAAGAAGAGGGGGGGGTGTTTAACAAAAAATCACGAAATATCACGTGCGGGAGGGAGGGGTATAGTAAGATATTACGTGTATATACTTTTTACCTAATTTACTTCTGAAAAACTCTTAAACATTTTTAAATAAAATCAAAAATTTTACAATGTTTTCCGTAACTAAAAATACACGTGATAGTTTGTGTGGGAGGGGGGGTTAATTTTGAATATCACCACAAGTGGGAGGGAAATTCAAAAATCCTTAAAAAACGATCACGTGGTTTAATATTAACTATGAATAGGCTTGACAAAAGCCTGAAATAATATCTATTATTACTGATTACGGCTTGCTTATGAATAAATAAATAAATGAATAAATAAATGGACACCTCTTAAGGTTGCTTTTTGGCCTATTCCTTTTTGATGCACTATTATAACAGTTTTTGTAATACTGATGAATTTTCATTGATGCAACAATATCAGATAAGGGCCAGTTTTACATGTAAACATATTTCTATCTATATTCCCAAGTGAAAATCAATTTCACTTACTATTTGACATCAGGTTGTTCGAGGTGGGTATCAAACATAGAACCTCTGATTTGAATAAAATTAACTAACTAGCCACAGAAGAGCCCTAAAATCCAATTAAGAGTATCAAAAAATATAAATTTTAGAAATGTTATTTTAGCATATTCAACTAAAAAAGGCAATTTCTATATTTTGCAAGTTTTTTTTACTGTTATGTTGTCATTTCTCAACCCAGTATTATTATAGTGTATTCCAATTATTGGCCATTCTATATCTGATAAGACTTTTTATTATATTTTTTATCTAATCTTGATATTGATTACTAAGAATGTTGCAGCAATGCCCCCGAAAGGATAATTTCACTTATCATATAATCTCATATTGAAATATTATATCAGCTTGTTGAAAAATTTAATGTACAATCAAATTTGAATATCACAACTGCTTATTTAAATTTTAAATTTGTCGTAGAACAAAATGTATGATAAAAGTCAACCCAACGTTGGCTGGAGTTCCTGAATTTATTATAGAACACAAGTCCAAAACGCTAAAAGCTCTGTACGATTATAGAAATTATTAAATAAGTATTCAAAATCTATGATATTTCTATATATCATAAGAACACGTATCATTGTGCGTTTTAATCATAAAATACCTTAATCTGTTAAAAAATAGTATTTTAAAGTTCTATCTCATACTGATCCATAAAAAATCTGATGATATCAATTCATACTCAAAAACTCAAATGACAATTAGAATATTCTATGGAAAAGTAAAAATTGTTTAAAAATAAATCAATTTTTCTATGACTGCCTAATCGTAACTACATTTTTCCAACCAAGGGTAAAGATATTTACTTCCCATATATTACCGTGCATAAACTTCCACAAATTTAATAACATCATTTATTGCTTAATTTCAACCAATTAATATCAGATACATCATATCATTTCATTTACCATGGCCAAAGGAATAGAAGTTTTCCGTAATTTATGGCAAACTTTACAAAATTATACTATAATTTTACGGCGTATTACTTGCAAATAAATTCGCTGAAATGTTCCATAATTTAACCTATTATAATAAATCGAAATTTTGCAAGAAAATAACTAACGTAATATCTGTGTGTTGCACGACAGCACGCAATAGGAAGAAATAGTGTTATATAAACGAAAGCATTTTTTTGCAATATAAACTTTCGTCATTGTGATTTGAAAGATTGCTTATGTTTTTATTATTTGGATCTATTGCAACATTATTATTGCAACGAATCGGAACCGAACAAATAAGAGAAAACCTTACGGCGTTCGACTTGAAGTCTTGAACTTAGCTCGATCATTTATTCCATTAGACCGGAGGAAGAATTTTATATGAACTAACGATGTAAATAAATGAAGTATTCGGTTAAATAATAATGCAATTACCTTCTGCAATAAGAAAATATAATGTTCTGCATTTTGAAATGGTTTAGCTTACGGATCTTATGGACAAGTCGGACATGGACAAGGTTTGATGGAATCCTTTACTATGAATTCAAATGACTATAAAGGTATAATAATTTTTAATAATATCTGCATATATTTTATCTGTAATATTTTGATAGGCCTTAGAATGCCTAGATCAAATACCGATCCAGTGATTGGACGTCCAGCTGTGATACCGGTATGAAATGTCCTGGATTTTTTTTATATTTTCATTTACTGACCTCACTTACTTAGCTACTAACAACAACCTCATTTTATATCCCATAATAACTAATTATCTCGTAATCTACTGAGTATTAACAACATTTTAATTTAAAAGATTTTTCCAAGTTTCTATTATCACACAAAAAGGAGATACCATTGGGTAAACTCTAATTTGGTCTTAACATTACATGTCATTCATAATTCTTAAATGTTTTTTGTATCTGTTTAGATTGTAATTTCATCTTGAAAAAAAAATCTGTTACCAGGCATTATTTTTTATACCCTATTCTGATCAATCTGCTACTTCAGTAAAATTTGCAATCAATTCACAGTACTAGATCTCATTAATTAATTAAAATTAATTTTACGCAATAAAATATCACTATGATTTTAATACTCCATATTTTTCAATATTGCATTTATAAAATACCAGCAGTGCATTTGCAATCATATTCTGAAATCTTTTAAATATATATTTTTTAATAAATGCAATGGTTTTTCCATCAGAAATAAGGTACTAAGGCGATGTCAGAACCATAAAAATAGGATGAATAAATATCGACTTTCTAACAAAAGAATTTGAAAGAATAATTACTAGCCTATTTCATATATGTTACAATTTCCTTTTTTGGACTATCATCAGTAAAAAAAAATTGCACAACTGAACGTACTTTATATATTTATTTTTTCTAATTTTTGAACAATTGATTTTATATCTAGATAAAAGCTGTTGCAAGAGGGGCATGTAACTGTTTCAAACATACTGTTTAGGAATTCATATAAAAAGGCGAATTGGTGTCTAAAAGTACTAAACAAATAATTAATTTTTTTATATATGTTAATTAATCTGTATATTTTATCTTGTATCCCTTTGAAATTTCGTCAGTTGAGTATTAGATTAGTTTTTTTTTTTTTTTTTTTGAAAAATTAAGTGAGCGCAACAATTTTTTTGAAAAATGGAGGAGCGCAGATTCAAAATGATTGGCAATCACTAATATAAAATATGAAATACTTAAGTAGAATGATTTTTACCGATATTTCAAATAATTTAAAACAAATTGAAATTAACAAAGAGTGCGATTTTATAAATATTCTATACTTTCCATTACATCCTTACAATGTATGTATAAATTGAAATATTAAAATAATATTGAACTTGAGCACAAATCAAATAATTTTATAAAATACTTTGTCAAATTCTTGAAGAAAACATTTTAATACTTATGAAATACGTATGCCACTATTTATTATTATATCGCATTCGACCACACTATTAAGATTAAATAATTAACTAATAAATGTAAATTATCATTAAAAATATTTACTCTGCTTATGTGATATCTACATATATATTTGCATAACTTTTATTTAAAAGAAATGAATCTTACCGTCTCTTCAATCCTTTGGTCTCCAGAAAAACGTGAAACTCCAAAAATCCTAGTACAACGGTATCGTTAACCACAAGAATTGTAGTATTTATCCATCATATTGATCAAAAGCAACTGTCACGACACAATTTTAATAATCCACAAACCAAAACCTTTTGTTAATAAATACTAAATCTTTAAAATAGTTTAAAAAATCATTATTGATTTCATAAAACTTCATTTATGTTTAATCTAGGTAATTCTTTATTGCACTAACACACTTCTGAACTCACCACACTGTTGTACTATTTTTTAAAAAAATATTTATTAAATTTTTGTCATAAAATTCAGTCCAGGCAAAGTGTTCTTTCGCAAACTTCCATCCACTGACTGAGTTCATATATCACAATTGCAGTACTTATAAATCCATTACAGAACAGATTCTCTTCTATACTATTGACCCATGGAACGTCTTCAATTACGGACGTCTCGCAAGGTTTTATTACGGATATGTTATTTGATATTGCTTTTGCATGTAATATAAGAGCTGGCAATTTATAAAATGTCCTTAAGTTTGCAAAAAAAATACAAAGTTAATAGGAACGCAAATGTTGGAGCCACAGCGGTTAATGGAATCATGGATATATACTTATAAGAAAGGAATGATTTAGACTGTTAGCAAACAAAATTCTTACAAATTTTTACATCAATTTTTATTAGAACTTTTTCATAATATAACTTTAATTAAGGATGATATGATGAAGTGAATTAAACTCCTACATCTGAACTTTGGCATTCAATTTTTTTAACACAAATGATCTCAATAAGATATTGACCCAAACTTTTTTCCTATGCTCAAAGACCAAAAAAATTAACTATGGCTAATTTATTAATGCTTCCTCGTAGGAAACGCAAAAGGCAATGGATCTATATAAATTCATGATAGGAATTGTCCAGTATAAACTGGTCATTCATATTGAAAGCACCTACTAATACGTAATGGTACTTCCGCAAAACTGAGACTGAATACTAAACAACCAGCTGATTATCAATGAAAGATGACATTTAGAATTACTAACAATAAGATAAATAATAAAATTTTAATGAGGATAATATAAAATAATTAATTAAAAACACATGAATGGACAACTATATTATTAAGTCTTTTTTGTAAATAAAATGATGAATAATACAATAATAACCGCCTATTGATCAGTTCAGTAAGTATTAAGTTGGGCAATTATAATATCTTGAATAAAAATAAATTAGAAGGAGTTTATTATATATTATCTTAATTTTATCGAAATATAATTGAAAATACTACTTAATTAATTAACAAACTCAAAACAGTTGAATACTACAATTGTACTAGATTTTGTTGCAAAAATAATTGTCTTTCTTTCACTATTTCCGATTATTGCTTATACGTTTTTAATGAACCTATGTGTGTTTATTTATATTATAAATCGATTACAGAATATTTTTATATGAATTAATTATAATAATATCTACTGTAACCTTTTTAGACGTGAGAAGTAGTCTGATTGAGATTTAATATGTTCAAATTTATATTTTAATAAAAAAAGTAAAATTAGTTTTTTCAATATTAATTTCAAAGTTAATCTTTTTATAAATTAATAATTTATCACATATTTAATTTAAATAATTATTATTATTCAATAAAAAAACTAATTTGTATGTGCAATTTTAAGCAAAAATTTTTTAACTGACTAAAACTGGATATGTAAAAATTTTATGTTAAATAAGTGTGCCTTCACGATTAATATGCGTGCGTAGAATGAATATTAAAAAAATGTAGTTCAACGGATAAAAAACTAATTTCCTGCATTCAAATAACTTTAATATATTTATATTTAATGTAAACAAACAAAAGTCGATTTAGAACAGGTGCATTAAAGAAAGTATACCTAGAAGACACGATTGTTCAGGTAATTGATAATATAATCGTATACTGCAATTTACAATTAAATCAATCTTATCTACAATAGATAATTAATAAAATTTTAAACAATGTTTGTATCTATTAATAAACTAGTAAAAATAATATATTTATTTTAGAAAGGTTTATCCCCGTAAAATGTAAGTAAATTTTATAACAAGAAAATCTTGAATTATGCGCAATACTAAAATTGTTATACTGAAGAATAGTTCAGAAATTAAATATATAAATTAATAATATTATGTATACACATATATGTATAAAAATCAAGAAGGGAAAAATGAACTCTACCGAACACGATTGTGAAATGAAAAGGAAACTTGAATAGACCCATATTGAGAAAATTGGGCTGGAAAACTGGTATGCAGATGATCGATGATAAATAAATAATTAATATCAAATATCTTATATATATATAAATATATAAATATATTATTTATTATTATTATTATTATTGTAAGATATTTGATATTAATTACACTATATACATTTATATAGTGAATGAACTATATAAATAAATAAATAAATAAATAAATAAATATGAATAGTATAATATTCATGCACTGAATGAACATCTTGCAATGTTTTAGAAATCTTTGTGCTCAGTACATTATTTATACATTATATTCAATTGTTTATTTACAAATCGTATTTTTTTGGATTATGGTTTAAAAAATATAAAGTTTAAAAAGAAGTTCATCTTGGCACTAACAAATTTCTAATTTGTTTAAAGGTCAATAAAATGAAACATATAGTATAGTTCAACTTCTTCAATTGAATGCAAATGATTGAATTAGTATTTGAATAAAATGTTATATAATAGTCAAAATAGTCGCAAAGTAAAAAATTCATCTGTTCGAGTAATTACAAATTAAATCTTCACTAAATTTTTATTATTCGTTAAATTATAATTTTACTTTCTATTCACTTCGCCGGTAACATTTATTTACACGAATTGATCTTTATACACACTTTTCATAAATGGATTGATATGCTTATTCAATCGTGAAATATTATCGAAGCATGATATCTGCGCAATATTCTCTTTGCAGAGATAAAATTTATATACAAATGCACTACTTCCTAATAACATTAACAAATATCGAATACATGATCACATACACAGAGCTCGCTCGATGGCCAGTTACGAACTGATTTCTGTGAACGATACTATAAACACAGTTGCGTTTGCCGTTTGCCGTTTGCCCACTCAATTCAACAGGTGAGCGACAGGTAAGCGACGGTGCGCAACACAAGACGCATTGGACAGCAGCGGACAAAGAACTTGAGGTTCGGATAAATTATTTCAATAACGATATGTATTTTTTATATATCTTTACGACTTTACGTTTCAAAACCCTCTGAACATTTTGGCATACCTTAGAAAAAATGGATGTGTGTGTATGTGTGTGTGTGCGGATACAATTTTCGGGAACACGGATGAAGCGATTTGAATAATTCAAAAAACATTCGATTCGTATTGATAAGAAGACGTGCTGATTAGTTTTTGGCAAAGGCAGGTCTAGCCGTTCCGAAGATATGGGGCAAAAAACACCAAAAACGGTAACTCAGTTTTTAAGAGAACGGAGCGTCCGATTTGAATAATTTAAAAAACATTTTACTTGTATTAACAAGATGAAGAACTGATGAAATTTTCATGAAGGCAAGTCTAGCGGTTTCGGAGATCTAGTAAAAAAGTAAAAAAAAGCCATTTTGCGGTCAAAAATGATCATTAGACATATGCACATCAAATTATCAGATATTTTATAGAGATAGAATTTTTTTTCAAAAATGTTAATCTTTTTTTAAAAAAATAATTTTTAGTACGGGAAGTTCCAGCAATTTGCCTTAAGGCACAATGCCATGCGCCACGCTAGTTATATTTTGTAATGATTTTATGTAATATGTACTTCTGTAATATACATGTATTGAAAAATATGACTATAGTCATAACTATAGTGGGGTGCACGGCAAGTTGCTGGAACTTCCCGTACCGAAATTAAAAATCTTGGCACGGAACCCAAAAAAAATTACACAAATTGAGTACACATTACTAGAATCTCTATTAAATATCTGATAATTTGCAAACCGTTAGACCTGCCTAAACCAAAAACTAATCAGCACGTCTTATCAATATGAATCGAATGGTTTTGAATTATTCAAATCGGTTGATCGGTGTTCCCGAAATCGTCGAAAATTTGTATCCGCACACACACACATACACACATACACACATACATCCATTTTTTCTAAGGTATGCCAAAATGTTCAAAAGCTTTTGAAACGTAACCCTACGTTTTGAAGTTAAAAATTGTTATATGCAAAAGTTATATGCAAACACTTACCAATTTATATTTTGTTTCATTCGTATTATTATTGACCATCGTTTTCCCAAACACACTATTTCGAAAGGTCTAACCCTTTTCCGTATAGCATAAAATGTGTGAATTTCCAGATGTTTAATTTCCAAGTGCGTTATAGTTTCAGCAGCTGATTAAAATATTTCATAAATGGTGAAGAATTAGCTAAAATTTTTAAATTCATCTAAAAAATCTTATCAGAAAAATCTCATGAAAATTATATGCAGACACTTACCGATTTATATATAATGTTTCTAGACTAATCCTTTTCCGTGTAGATGTAGGATATTTGATTTTTTAAATTATACCAGTGTGCCATATAGCTTCAGCTCAAAGTTAAAATCTTCCCAAAAATTTTATTTTTCTTCCACATATCACAAATTCGTATTTAAAACCGTTTCCTTTATACCAGGAACCCCTGCTTGACTGAGATATAAAAGAAACCTGTGGACTTAGACGAGCAAGGCTCCGGCGAAATTTGAAAGAAATATTTAAAAATTTATGAAAATTATATACAGACACTATTAAGCATGATAATACAATACATATAATAAACATTATGTATACTATATTATAATACTTTAATTTTTTAAGTAAAACTGCAAATGCATCTTCCAACAAGGTTGCGTTAAACGTTCAACGCGCCTGAGAAGAAAAAGTAGAGAGAATTAATTGTTAATAAAGTAATGTTCAAAAAGTAAGCAAGTATTATACTAGAAATCATTATTTTTTATTAATATTTAATAAATGGATACCATTTATTTCAATTATTAAGTGATAAAAAAAAATCAGTCTGTATTTTTTCCTGAAAGTACTGCCTTTTCCTTCAATTGCATGAAACTGAATAGACTAGTATTTTTATCTTTATTATTAAGTGAAACAAAATTTTATTTCAAACTTTATTCAACAGTGCAGTATAGTCAATACATTGCTCCCATAAAATTATAAAAATACACCAATTTTAAAACTTAATATTTAGCTTACATTCCTAATCATATTGAATTTATCCAAATCCATAAGAGTAAAATGTTAAAACTAACAATTATTGTTCATAATATTTTATCACTATACTGAAAGTAAAAAAAATAATGTATTTTAGGGAGAAAGTTAATCCAAATGGTTAAAACATTCTGAATGTATCAACTTCAATTAGCATTTGTTAACAGCTGGTGCCAATTCGTAAGGAATAACTATTATCAAAGTTTTCAATTATTTATAATAATACAGTAATAATACAACAAAGCACTTTTATCATATGTAATATTAAAATATCACAATTGGAAATATAAATATAACAACTACAAAAATAATGCTAAAAAAATAGTGGTTTATAAACAGTTTCCTAACAAATTATGTGGCATTTTTCTGTAATCAACTGCATATAAATATATATTATAGGACATCACAAGCGAGAATAATGTTTAACTGCAACATGATGCTGGATTTGGATCTTTCCCTGAACGTTTTGTAACATTTAGTCTAGTGAATTCTTCAGCTATTGTTGGATGAATTCCAACAGTGTTTAACAAAGCTTCCATTGTAAGATTGCATCTAAAAATAATTTAAACATATTATAAAATATAGATAATAAATGAAAACATACTACAAGATTTACATACAATGTATTTAATACTGAAAAAATAATTCAATACTAATAATGGAGTATGCCTTACTTCATAGCAGCAGCAAAACCTTGAATAACTTCTCCAGCATTTGGGCCTATAAAATGCAGTCCAAGAACTTTTTGTGGGCCATCTCTCAATGCAACAGCTTTTAAGTAACAATGCTTGATACTACGCTGTGGAATAAAGAACTCCGTAGGTTTATAATATGCATGATAAATCTCTAATTTATCAGCGCCATACCTGGAAAATATAATTTGGTACAGAATTTTTTTTTTCAAATAAACATTTTCAAATAAACAATATCTATATTATTCTAATAAACTTTAAAATATATATTTATTCCTATATAGTACAATATATACTATTTAAAGTAATTTATTCAAAACCAAAATGAATATGCATGATAATATATAACAGGTTTAATTGCTATAGATAAATAGCTTTAAAACATGATCAGTGAAGAGAACATTTTCACGACAGTGTTATCTCATATGAAGTGTTATTGATAAGAATTATCAGTAGATCAAATAAAGTTACTGAAATAATTTTCATGCTATAGTAAGTGATAAACTCACATTTTAGTTGCATCTTCTTCACTTAAGCCCACACAAGCATATTCCAATGGGGTAAATACTGTGGTGGCAATGTTTTCGTAGTCCATTATCTGAGTTGAATTTCCAAACATTCTTCTAGCTAATAAGCGTCCAGCATGAATAGCTGAAGGTGTCAACTCAGGTTTTTTCTAAAAGTAATTTATTATGTTTAATTATAGCTGTACAAACTGAAGGTCTAAAATAAAATTCAAACTTACATATAACACATCACCAACAGCATAAATATTAGGCACATTTGTTTGTTCATTTACAGTTGAAACTTTATCTGAATTTTCTTCTAATAAAACACCAGCATTATCTAATTTTAAATCTTTTGTTAAAGCTTTCCTTCCAATAGCAAACAAAATGGTATCAAATACATCTGAATGTGTGGTATTATCAGAAGTATTTAACCAAGTAACAAGAAGTTTGCCATCTGAGCATTTTTCTACTGATTTTGGAATGCATGTATCTAAAAATTTGACTCCTTTTTCAATCATAGATTCTTTAATGATATTAGCCATTTGTTGATCAAATCCACGCAATAAGACTGAGCGGACCATAACTGTTGCATCATATCCTAATCCTTTCAAAAAACCTGCACATTCAAGTCCAATGTCTAATTTAAATTTAAGTTAAGAAAAAGTTTATGGATAATGCAGATAGTTTAAAGTAAACATTGTAATAAAAATGAAAACTTGATAAAATGAGCGTAATATGCCACATTTATTGTAAAAGGATACAACCAGCACCAACAACTACAGTTTTTCCAGGTTCTCTATCTAAACTGAAAATATCATCACTAGTAATTCCATACTCTAGTGCTCCAGGAATATCTGGATAGTTAGGCCGTCCTCCAACTGCGATAACAATATTTTTGGCAGACAATATTTTTTCACTTTTATTCTTTAATACAGCTATAATAGTATTTTGATCTTTAAAGTATCCTAGGCCATTAATATATTCGATTTTCCTGCATAATAAAATATATTAAGGTAAAATTGATAAAGATACAGAATCAGTTATCAAAAATTTTCAAATAATGGAATGAACAATTACTTGTCTCGTAGATCTACTCTAGTGACCCAGTTGACACTTTTGATATGATTTTGAACAGCTTCTGTTAACGAAAACCAATCATGTTTTGTGTTCTCAGGATTATCAAATTTCCATCCATAAAAAGAAGAATCCTACGAACATAAACATAACCAATCAGAAGACAAATAATGGTAACACAATTATAATATGTATTATATTATACAATATCGTAAGAAATTCAAAAATAATATTGAAACTTATATAAATTATTAAATGTTCTTACAAATATAGCATCTCCAAGTAAAGAGGCTTGATGCATAAGTTTTTTAGGTATGCATCCAACATTTACACATGTGCCACCCAAGCCCCATTTTGTTCCTTGTGGTGAAGGAACTACATAGTCTAAAACTGCTACTTTAGCTCCCAAATTTACTGCTTCTTTGGCACAAGCTAATCCGCCAGAGCCTCCTCCGATAACCACAAGATCATATTCTGGTTCTCCTACAGAATACAAATTTAAATTAACTCTACAACAGCAGCTGTAAAAGCTAAATTTCTCTGTGCAACACCAGTTGTAAATGTGAACTGAATTGAAAATTTCATATGCCAAGAATCGATATGTAAATTATTTATTTCAGATAAAATGATAAAACTTGTGTGTTATTTGTACAAAAAAAACGTTGAGCATTGAACATTGTGCAGGATCCATTTAAAATCAGATCTATTAGTACAATTTATTATTCAATATTAAAGTGAAGTTGTGAATGTCACTGATTGCACCATGATTGCACGATCCACTAATGATATTCAGAGTATATAAATGTAATTTGAATTAAAAAGGTAAGTAACACTTTAAGTAATGTTCGTGCAATTCATAAAACGTACCCATTTTAATGAAAATAGTATAATATAATTTATTTGTTACAAATATCAAAATATAACCTAAATGTGTCAATTCCTTCTGTCATTGTGCAATTACTTACTAGTGCAGCAATGTCGTATTAATTGAACATTAATTTGTAATCCAACTCCTTTATGAAAGTTTTTAACAGATAATTGTCTGAGATAACATCGGAAAAGCGCCATATTATAGACGCAATCTTGCGTGAACAAAAAGTATGACAATTACACTTTCTCGAACCGATTAGAACGAAGGTCACATTATTAACACAACTTTATTAAAATCAAATAAAGTAATGATGAAATCAATATTAATCACTGGTTGTAATCGCGGTTTGGGCTTGGGGCTGGTCAAGAGTGTACTGAAAGAATTGAATCCGAAGCACGTCATTGCGACATGCCGAAATGTGAATAACGCGGGGGTAAGCTTAATATCACACACTTTTTGTAAAATAACCACACTTTAAAATTATTTAACTGTTACTTACCAATAGGTGCCATTTGTAACTGCTTTAACAAATCTGTTCCTACTACTTCTTAAACTATTTAAAACACGTTTTGGGTTAGACGGATAACGTTAAAATAACCATAAGTCGCCGGTTAAGTTTGTAAGTACGATTGCCACCCAGAACGAGATACAGAAATCTTGTCTGTAGAATTGACAGAATGTTCTGACATATGACGTCATGTCATTCAAGGAATTTCATTCCATTACGAAGCAACAATCAACGCGCGCTTAGCAAATGATTAAATTTTTAATCAAAAATGTGTTAAGTCATCATTATGGAATACCTGATGTATTAAAATCAATATTTTCTATAAATGTTGTACGACTATTATCAGAGCAGGCACATGTCGTCCGTTCGTTCATTTTCTTCTTTTTAAATATGCGAAAGCACAGAAAGTTTGACATTGTAAAATTAAGTTGTTTTAATTAACTTTATAATTTACAATTCAAATTAATACACTCACATTGGCAATTTAAATAGTACTACAAACATATATATTTTCATTATGATATCAAAAAAAGGTAATTTAACAAGGATCTTTTGACTTTCTTTTTTATAAGTTATTTATCTTTTATCCCATATTCATAGATGTTAAAATTGAAATATAAATTTATTCAATATTTATGAAATCATAAAATTTATTTGGATTTCATATGCAAATTGACTTATTCATGTAAAATTTATAAATTTTTTGTCTGTGTATAGCAAAGACAGTTTCTGATTTGATCTTTGATTAAAGTTAATGGAATGAAATGAAAATGAAATGCAATTAATTAATGGAAATAATTTCACTAGTGTACATATGACCTTATAATTATAGGATCTTCAAGAAGTTGCAAACAAACATCAGAATGTGCATATTTTGGAACTTGGTAAGCACACAAATATCATTAATGCTTACATATAACTTTCCTGAATTTATTTCTTATTACATTTTCATTCAACAAAATAGATGTAAAGGACATAGAAAGTTATCCAGTTCTAGTGGAACAAGTAACAAAAATAGTAGGAGACGATGGGCTTAATGTGCTTTTCAATAATGCAGGCGTTTCGCCTCGATCTACAAGACTGGCGTTTACTGAAGTTGACAAAATGATGGATACATTTTTAGTTAATACTGTTGCACCTGTCATGTTAACAAAGGTATGTTGTATTTATATTCAAATATGTTATATTTTTTATTTAATGTAATATAAATATTTACAGGCATTTTTACCTTTGCTCAAGAAAGCTTCCTCTGCTAATAGTGAACTGCCAATGGGAATTGCTAAAGCTGCTATAATAAATATGAGTTCCATGCTTGGTTCGATTTCTCAAAATGAATCAGGTGGTCTTTATCCATACAGATGCACTAAGGTAAATAAGTTGAATTGTTTAAGGAAGTAGCATAAGATATAAAATTTCACCTAAATGTCTTGAAAAAAGTTTTATATGATACAATTATTTGACACTGGAATATTTTTGCTTTCTAATCAAGAATTTGACACACAGTTAACTGGGATTTGAATGACATCACTCACAAAAGTATTTAATATAAATTCACCTATACGTTATGAATGGAATTTCAAACATTCACTTATTGTCACATTAACTTTGTAAAAAACCAAAAATATTAATTTCAGGCTGCATTAAATGCTGCAACAAAATCTATGAGTGTTGATTTGAAATCAGATGGTATCATTGCTGTAAATATGCATCCAGGGTGGGTAAAAACTGATATGGGAGGCAATAAAGCACCCTTAGACATATCTGAAAGTGTTGATGGTATTGTCAAGACTTTAACAAAACTTAATGAAAAAGACAATGGTGGTTTTCTCCAGTACGATGGAAAACCAATACCTTGGTAATAAATATGTACATTACTGAAAGAGAACTGTAAATATTTAATAATTTAATAGAAATTATTTAAAACAAAAATCAATTAAATAAAATGTTTTTGTATTGTCTCAAGAATAAAACGAATTACATTGGTAAACCAGCCAAGTTTTGAATATCTTGTAAACTGTTCATAATTTGCACGGCCGTTGGTCTTTCTGCAGGATCTGCGAGCCAACATTTTTGATACAACTTTTCATACATGCGTTGACTTGAACTAATTACTCTCCTAGTTATTTTTGATCTCGGTCTCAAGTTGTATTTCACTACATTATAGATAAGACAATCAGGCTCAATAATCTGAAAACATTATATATGTATATATTATGTATATTTATTATGTTTTATGTTATCTACCTTGTAGGGTTCACAACAGTTTTGCATTTGCCACATCAATATTGCCAAAGAATATATGTCACATTTTATCGTTGGAATCTTTCCTTGAAGTAGTTCAGGTGCAATATATTCTAGTGTTCCCTGGAAATTACTCATTTGAATAGTTTATATATATAGAGAATATAATTTTATTTAGATTATATTCATACCTGTAAATTATTAGAATCATATGTATCTTGATTTTCACTGCAAGTAATTGCCTAGAGCACCCAAAATCGCAAACTTTACATATGTTGTCTAAAACTAGGATGTTTGCTGGTTTAATATCCAGATGTATTATTCCGGAGCTGTGCATGTAATTTAAAGCATCTGCGATTTGATATGAGTATCTAAAATAAAAAATAAAATTGATGAAAAGTTCATTAACAATTTAATATACAACTATAGCTAACCTGTATTGATCGTGATCAGATAACAAATCCATATAAGATCCGATGAACTTTTTCAAGGAATGACATCCTTCATATAGTTCCATGATGATTATTGCATAGTCAAAGGATTGTATGATTTTGTATACTTTTATTATATTTGGATGATTCAATTGTAATACATTTCTTTCACTTTTTCCACTAGAAATTGTACGGGAATTGTTTGTGCGAACGATTTTGGCGGCAATATTCATATCTGTAATATTAAATTAGTATAAAAGACTTTTAAACTATTGCATTTATAATGTAAACCTTTATATCGCGATCTTATAACATATCCGAACGATCCCTTTCCAAGTAAATGCTTTTGAGTAGAGGTTTCGTATTCATGGAAGGAGGAAGATCGTAATCTGTTCAATGATGTTTTTACTTTGGGGGTATCAAAACACAGACAATTTGTATCAGATTCTAAAAAAAAATATATTTCAATGATTTTTCTATTTTTAAAACGAACAATATTCTTGTTTATTGAAATAAGACATGTGCATTTACCTGTATCTTCTAATTTTATAAGTGGTGCATTTAATATTTTATTTGATGTATCCTTAAGAGGGGACGAATCAAATAGATTTCGAATTGATTTTCTATCTGATTTGGTATAAACCATAGGCGACCTGTAAACCACGTTAATAATTATTTAAATAACTCTTGTTCTATTTTATTTTCACTATTTTTCGGACTTATTTAATTTTTCTTTGATTTTAAGTAACATATCACTATCAAGGAAAATATGTACATTTTATTATTTTAAGTACATTCATGATTGTCTTAGTTTCTGTTATCATGTTAATTAATACTTGCAACAGATTTAAATAAAAAAATGATTAAATAAAAAATACAAACAAAACTTACGTTTGGCGGTTCGGCGAATTATAAATATTGGTTACATCCTCGGACAACAAACTACTACTCCTGAAACTTTTTGGTGCATCAGACAGTATTGTGGGCGATCTATAAAACAATAAGCACAATAAAATGCCTTAAAAATAAAATATTAAAATATTACTTATAATTAGGTGATAAATATTCATTTCTCGCAGCTTCTCTAAGTAACTCGGGACGTCTATAAAATTTTGGTGTACTTGTGCGTGGACTCAATATTTTTGCTGTTTGTTTAAAAAGTTTTCCTGATCTGGTAGCCATTATGTGCTTTTTATCTTAATTTTTCGACCTAATTTAAAACTGTAATACAGGTAGCATTACATTTGCGACTGGCTTCTAACTCTTTCTGCCTGCCATGAATGCCATGCCATGCCATGAAACTAATATTATGTAACTAAAAATGCATGCAAATTGTTATCAAAAATATCAAAAGATGGCATTTAAATTTTAGTTTGTATGTTTATATTTCATGAAGTTTAAAACCTTGCATTTGGTGTTTACTATTTTTATTCAACTATCACTCGAGGGCGATATCTATTTTGAAAGATTTCTTTTGTAACTGGTTTGCTAATCACCACGTGTACTTTGTTAAATGAAAAATATTTTGAATCTGTTATAATTATCTAAAGATTCTGTTATAACTAATCTTGCTATCCGATACAGAATATTTTCTGTTATTTGATTAAAATTATTTTCTATAAAATTTTTGTCTTTGCGATAATGAGTAGTTAGACCTCAAAGGGCATGAAAATGTGTCAGCTGTTTATAAAACATAACGTTTTTTTTTTAATTTAAAAGCCATTCAATATAATTCGACAAGGACTTGCGTTGATTATGCTTTATTAATTTTCTTTTAATTAGCACATAGTTAAAAATCCTGAACCGATTTTAATAATTCAAATTGATCAAAAACAGTTCGAAAGATATCAGATAGGAATCGTGCTGATTAGTTTTTAGTAAAAATAGACCTGACCGTAATTCATTGTTGATAAAATTGACTAATTAATGAATCTTTGCATATTGATAATGCGCGGGTCTTCCGCATGTCTAAACCAGGGGTCGGCAAGCTTTTAACTGTGGGTGTGCCGAGCCACTCTACCAATATGATTCAGGGTGCCGCCTGAATTCTGAAATATATAACCAGGTTCTGTGGGAAAAGAATTATAACCAAATTATCTTTTAAACATTTTTATTAACTAGTGGGGTGCATGGCATCGTGCCTTAATTCAAATTGCTAGAACTTCCCATACTGAAATTAAAAATCATGGTACT